AAAACTGATATAAAACTGATTTTTATTGGTTGTTATAAAGCTAGTTACTTGCAAGAGACTTATTTTCATTCTACAGATCAATACAAATGCAGATGTTCAGAACTAGTGTAACACCATCAGTGACTTCACCACTTGCTCTTGCTGAGATCGGACGCTTTTCCCATCCCTCTCCCTCTCTGCTTTGCTTTGCTGCTCTGTTTGTCTGTGAAACTGCTTGTGAGCTCTCTTGCATATCTTCCAAAACATTATTATGGACTTGTTTTGATCAGTTGGTCCTTCAACTCAATTTACAACATTTATTCGAAGAGAAGACCGGTTTAGAAGAGCCGATTTGCCCTGTTGGCAGCACGCAGCTGGATATCTCATCGACTTGGAAGACTTGATGATGTGTCTATCTCTGCTTCCATTTCTGGATTTTAAGGATGCATATTTAATTGGATTTACTGGTTCCTACTTTTTGGATTCGGCTGGTTGCTGGTTTTATCTACAATCAAGGAAGTTGTCAGCAGCAAATTTGGACCTGATCACGCTGCTTGCCTTTATGATGGCTTGGTTCATGTTTCGAGTACTCAGACTCAAATGCTTTGGGCAGAATGGATTAGATCTCGGGGATTGTACTCAGTCACATTCCATCGGTGTGGCCATGTAATTTGGACATTTCAGAACCGAGTGGACCAACACAGACTCAAGGTAGATGTCATTAAGTTCTGCCTGTCCCCAAAACAACTGTGTGTTTATCTGAATTTGGCTCCCTTGGCTGGCCTTGAAGGCCATCTTATCTGAATTTGCCTGGAGAACATGTGATCTGATGCTCACCACCCCCTCCCTGAGGAATTTCCAACTGATAACCAGATGAATCCAGCTGAATAAACTTTGTGTCATCATTTCAGAACTCTTGGATTCTCATAGTCGTTTTTCCTGGCCATTCCTCGACATACCTCGAGAATGTTTACGGATCTCACCGGAGGACACTGGCTGATTATTACATCCTTATCAGAACTCTTACAGTGCCCTCGAGAGCATCTATGATCATGCTGACCGCTCTCGTCGTCTCACTCTGCAGAATGTCTATGTCTCTATGTGCTTGTTTGTGCAAGGTGATTTTTAATATCAGAGTTTGTTCTTCTCAGGCAGGAAAAAAAGTCTGATAGGATTTTTTTTGCCTCCAATTCTTACATGTGTCCAGTTTCACTACTTTTTGTCTGTCTAAACAGATCTCACTTGTAAATGAGTCTTCTAGGCTCATTGTGACTTATCTGTCTAAATAAAGGTTGAATGAATGAAAAGTATTTAAAATTATTAATGTGACTTGTTGGAGCTAGTGACATTGCACGTTCGTGGTGAGACGTATTGTGTCACTTCCTGTTTGTCTGGTGGTAGCTCGAGTGAATTGTTTGCTCGAGTCGTCTTTTGTTTTCAATTCAATTCAATTCAAAAATACTTTATTAATCCCAGAGGGAAATTAAGTGTTGTCGTAGCTCATCATCCCGGTTTCATTCAAGAGTTGTTATAGATACTGATAGCCGTGGGAAGGAAGGATCTCCTGCAGTGAAGCCGAAGAATCTGGCCACAGGCTTATTATCTGGATGTCCAAATACTTCTTTAAAATGTCTTCAGTTGATCCAAAATGCTGTTGCCAGAGTCTTAACTGGAGTTAGTAGGAGAGATCATTTCTCTTCAGTTTTAGCTTCTCTCCATTGGCTCCCTGTCAAGTCTAGAATAGAATTCAAAATCCTACTTCTAACCTTCAAATTTCTCAACAACCTAGCTCCATCTTATATTATTTTCCTAACAGAGCACTTTGCTCTCAGGCTGCAGGTTTACTCGAGGTTCCTAGAGTTTCCAAAAGCAAAATGGGAGGCAGATCTTTCAGTTATCAGGCTCCTCTCTTGTGTAATCAAATTCCAGTTTTTGTTTGTGAGGCTGACACATTGTCCAGTTTTAAGCCTAGGCTTTAGACTTTCGTTTTTGCTAAATCGTATAATTAGGGTCAGCTTGGGTTTCCTGAACTGTCCCTTAGTTATGCTGTTATAGGCTTAGACTGCTGGAGGACAAACTGACCATATTTTTTTCCCTCTGCTACTGTCTTTACTTATTGTCTTTTTATTTTATTTTTATTTGCTACTTTTTATTTGATGTTGTGATATTTTTCTTAAGCACTTTGGTAAAAGTTTCTGTTTTAAATGTGCTCTATAAATAAATCTGACTTGACTTGACTTACTCTGCTCAACCTGTTTTGTATTTGTAATTATTTTTTCTATCCTTATTATGTGTTTTTGTCTTTCAGGTACACCTGGACCTATATCTGCACCTACCATTCTGTGTTCGTTTGTCTCTTTTCTGTCCTCTCAACCCAGCCGGTCAAAGCAGATGGCCACTTGTCTTGAGCCTGGTTCTGTTGGAGATTTATTCCTTTTAAAGGGAGATTTTCCTTTCCACTGTTGCCATTGTGCTTGCTCAGGATGGGAGACTGTAACAAAGCCAAGATTCAACATGCCTGCTGGCTTCCTTAGATAGAGAATATCCTGATCCTGAGTTTCTGTTTTAAATGTGCTCTATAAATAAATCTGACTTGACTTGACTTGATGCATGCTCAATAATCCAGGTAGAAAAATCTAAAAAGTTAAATCTGGACCTCTGGACATTCAAAAAACAAAACAAAACAAAACAAAAAAGATGAAGAAACGTTTCGTCTTTCATCCGAAAAACTTCCTCAGTCCGAGGTGCTGTATTCAGCTCAGTCTTATAAATAGCACGTTCTCAGAGTGGATAAGCCAGTTTTGCTTCTGACAACCAAAACCAGCTGATCACATGGTCAAGAAGGACCATCAGTCTAACAATGGATCATTAACACACTGATGGCTATTTATTATTCACAGAGGGCTGAGTGATACTAGCAATAACAGCATAGTAAGAGGGGGACAGTTGAACCCGGAGGCCTTCACCCCTGTTATGTGGATATCCTAACTGGGCCTTCCTAAAAGCAGAGATGAAACCCAAACAGGACTCCAGTCAGCCATCAGGTGAAAAGGAGGAACCCAGACCCAGACCAGTGGTCATTCCATATGTTGAGGGAGTATCAGAGAAACTGAGACGTTTATTTTCTAAACATAACGTCCCAGTGGCTTTTAAACCCCAAAATACATTACGGCAAAGACTGGTTCATCCCAAATATCCAGTCCCCCGGCACAAACAGAGTAATGTTGTGTATGCTGTTCAGTGTCAGGAGGGCTGTGATCAGTCTTACATCGAGGAAACAAAACAGCCACTGGCCAAAAGGATGGCCCAGCACAGAAGATCAACATCATCAGGCCAGGACTCTGTGGTCTCAACTCATCTCCAGGCCAGCGGTCACTCTTTCAGGGATGAAGATGTTCACATCCTGGATAGAGAGGAACGATGGTTTGAGAGAGGAGTAAAGGAGGCCATCTTTGTGAAAAGAAACCGTCCATCATTAAACAGGGGTGGAGGCCTTCGTGTTCAACTGTCCCCCTCTTACAATGCTGTTATTGCTAGTATCACACAGCCCTCTGTGAATACTAAACAGCCATCAGTGTTTTAATGATCCATTGTTAGGCTGATGGTCCTTCTTGAGCATGTGAGCAGCTGGTTTTGGTTGTCAGCAGCAAAACTGATTGATTCACTCTGAGAAGGTGCTATTTAAGAGACTGAGCTGAATACAGCACCTCAGACTGAGGAAGTCTCTTGGATGAAAGACGAAACGTTTCTACATTTTTTTGTTTTGTTTTGCTTTGTTTTGTTTTTTGAATGTCCAGAAGACCAAATTTAACTTTTTTAGACTTAGATAGAGAACTTTACTAATTGGCTTTTCTATGTATGTGAATGTTCCTGTAAAGTGCCCTGAGACAACTTTGTTGTGATTTTTGGCACTATATACTGTAAATAAACTGAATGGCATTGAATTGAATGTTTGATAATTATTTTTTCTATAAGCACATTCAAACAAATGTAGCAGTCACAGAGTCCAATACAATAACCTGGATGCTAGTGCTATCATGCTAACTCCAGAAACAAACAAATAAACAAAAAAAAAACCTCACCAGTTCCTACTTTTAGAATACACAGTCAGCTGAAGTTTTTTTCACAAACAGAGACATCTAAAAGTTGAGGGGCATATCAGTCAGAAATGGCAAATAGGCATTAGATAAAGGTCTTTGAATGGCTTAAAGCCTACCTGCAGCCAGCCTGGTTATGAGTGTCACTGCAGCACAATCTGTTCCTGCCCCAAAAAAAAAAATATCTGTTCCGGGACCGGAAGCACATGGCTGGTACTGATTGGTACAGCTTGTGTTCGATCATGCCCCCGGGCGCAGATATCTGCGCCCAGAATCTTCCTATCTATTGCAGTGGAAAGGGAACAACTGCGCATGTACAAATGTTAACGAGCGTCTAAGGCTAAGATTCTTGCACGCCAAGGGGCCAAAAGTACGTCACCAATCATACAATGTTTTTGTAAGAAATAACTTAACTAATCATTAACTATAAAATATTTATCTTACACAACAACAAAAAATATATACATATTTTTTATTTTTTTTATTTTATTATTTTATTTTTATTTTTTAAGTCTTCAGTATAAAATGGTGAGTGGTTCCAGTGGGTGGGTGGCGCCCTCTATTGACAAGCCGCCACTGGGAGCTGCTATAACTTCCCCTCTTCTCAACATAAAACGATCATGGTTAAAATCTCGGGCATTAAAGGTGGACAGTAATGTACATTTGTTTAAGGAACGCTAGGTCTTTAATTTTATTCTCTGATTCTAGTTCCTTCCTTAAATAACTTTCCATAACTTTGAACATTTTACTTTATTGGTTTTATTTGCCTCCTACTTTTCTAACAAGTTTTTTCAGTAAATAAAACTGATTTCTGACCAATAATAGTTTTATAGTTATAGTTTTAACCCCATCCCCCATTAATAAATTCCATGTTCAATAAACTAAAATGTCACATCTTGCCAGGTGGAGGGGGTACTTCATTACCTTCAGAGCTGTCAGAGCTGTGGGAGGGTAGGTCAGACCAGCCATGTTGGATGTCCGTCTGTACATCCTGTTGTCACACATAAAAATATCACAGAAATCTCACACATATAGATACAGGCAGTGGCATGCATATAAACACTCATCTCACAGACACCCTCCTGTTGCCCTCCTCCACAGTTTGATACCAGGATGGATTGTTTGTTGCCATGAGAACCATGTTCCAAACAGATGCACGCACACACAAAAACACTTGCCATGTGAGCGTTGCCTCGTTGCAGCAGATATTTTTTGATTTCATGCGTCATTAAATGGCAGCAGATGAACTGATACTGCGTTCTTTCACTGCGACTCATCTGCACTCTAATGATATTGTGTCTCATAAGTTTCCTTATAAGATCTCCGTCTGTCAATCGCTAACATCATTAGAGTTTGTGTTTGACCCCTTAATCACATCTGCACTGAAGTCAGCCGGATGCTCTCAGATGTTTATTTAAAAAAATACTCTGCTTGTTGTCTGTTCTGTATGCAGGTGCTCCAGATTTCTGCCGAAGATGAAAATAACTGAACATTTGAAAATCTAATCTTGTCTGGGATGATTGCCTGTCAGGTTGTGCAGTTTACCTCCTGCATTTTCAACAAGTTATTAATTTTTATCAGTTTGTGTACCCCAACCTTTGACTGGTACAAGAAGTAACTGTGTCAAACTCAAAGCACGTGCAAACAAAACTTTGGAGCAGGAGCAAATGTGAAAATGGAGAAACACTTTTGTGAAAAGCATAATTATGGAGAAAAAATCCCATCTTCTGGTTCTTAGCTCAGAAATGGTAGAATGCTCTCTCTGAATAAGACACGAGTCTCTCCCTCAAGCAAAGCAATTGTATTTTGAGGGTAAGTTTGCCAGACAGGCCTCGTAATCCCATACAAATGGTAAATGGTAAATGCACTGTACTTATATAGCGCCTTTCTATCTTATTTCAAGATATTCAAAGCGCTTTACACTATAATCTGTGTCCTCATTTACCCATTCATACAGCACTCTACTAGATCTCTACAAAGCTAATTGAACAAATCATTCTAAAGAGACTAATCAGAGCTTTAGATCACATTCATACACTGATGGGACACACATCAGAGGCTATGAGGGGTTCAGTGTCTTGCCCAGGGACACTTCGGCATGTGACTGCTGGTGGATTCGAACCCCCAACTCTCGCATTAGAGGACGACTGCTCTAACCATTCAGCCACAGCTGCCCCAAATATACATACAAATATATATATGTATACAAATATACAGATATTAAGGTGAACAGGGTGTAAGCTCTTACCATTGAGATTTTCAACTCACAACTTTTGTCAGGGGATTTTTGGTAAAGGTTTATGGATGTTTTATTTCTACTAATGTTAACTGCACATGAACTAGAGCTGTCATTTCTAACCTGGGCCCGAAGCCCGGCCTGACCTTGCCCGACTGGATCTGACTTGACCCGAATTCTTGGTGGTCTGGGCCATGATAATGTGCTGGATGGGCGGGCCGGGTCGGTGTCGGGCTTTTGACTGGGTCAGCATTAGTCGCGATTCAAGTATATGATAAAATGGCCTGCCATACATTCACCAGCCGCACTTAGCCATTTGACCGCGAGCTGACTGGCCTTGAAAAAGGTAAAAAGTTCATTTAAGCTTCAGATGGAACTATACTGCCAGGAAGAGGTCCATCACCCAAATGGACGTTCATTCAGCGGTTGCACTCAGCAGACATGCGCAGCCAATGACCCAAACAGGTGAGATCCCAAAGCAAACGTGTCAGAGTGGGCCATGTCTGAATAAATCAGAATGCAGGCAGAAGTAGGGTTTAAATGCTCTTTGACGACCATGAAAGGACAAACACCCCCTCAGCTCTGATCTTTTGCCTCTTTTATTCAGCCGTGCATCCGCCGACCGTTAATAACTAATTAAAAATGTTTGGTTTTTTTCCGGGTTCGGACCTGTAATTACTGTTAATTTGTGGGGTTGGGCAGGGTTTGGAAATGATGGCTGCGGGCTGGGGTTGGGTCAGATCTGATTTTTTTGAGTTTGAATGCAACTCTACCATGAACCATGTGTTTGAGTTAGAAGATAGTTCTTTTTTCCTCTCAGAGAGATCTGAATGAGGAGCACATGATCCTGCATGTGCTGTGCGGCCAAGGCCATCAGTGCCTGCCTCTGAGCCGAGAGCTGATAAGCATATAAAAACAATTCTCATACGCTGCCTGGTGCAGATTCTTGGGACTGGGCTCAATGCATGTAGAAATTTTATACGTCTGTGTAAGCCTGTGTCTGCCCTTGCAAGAAAACTGGTTAAAAATCTTCTTGTGTCCTCGAGCTTGGCTTCTTTGAGTAAGTGGGCGGCTGTGGCTGAGTGGTTAGAGCAGTCGTCCTCCAATGCAAGAGTTGGGGGTTCAAATCCACCAGCAGCCACATGCCGAAGTGTCCCTGGACAAGACAATGAACCCCTCATTGCCTCTGATGTGTGTCCCATCGGTGTATGGATGTGATAAAGCTCTGATTAGTCTCTTTAGCATGATTTGTTCAATTAGCTTTGTAGAGATCTAGTAGAGTGCTGTATGGATGGGTAAATGAGGCACAGATTGTAGTGTAAAGAACTTCGAGTATCTGGCTAAGATAAAAAGGCGCTATATAAGTACAGTCCATTTACCATTTACCATAAGTAAGATGAATGGAGGATATTTTTATCCACCACCTTTGAAAAAGTTTTTCTTCCCCAGGGAGTTTGAGGACAAAGCATCTAATCAAATCATGTTCAAGGCTTCTTCCAGGAGTTCTGGCCAGAATGTCTTTAGGGCCTGTCACCAAAGAAAATAGGGAAAACCATTGTAAATGTTGTCAAGTTGAAAAACCTTTTTCAGCTTGACCTCAGGGCCTTTAGGGCTTGGGTCCTGGAGCAGCCGGCAGGTACAGGATGGCCAGAAGGACTGCAGCTTCTGTTGCTGCAGAACCTGAATTTTAAGCAAGCAAGGACTTCAGAGAAGCCTTGGAAAAGGGTTTTGGATTGGTGTCAAACTTGGCCCTTGGAGTGGGCCCCATTCCAGGCTGTGCCGAGTCTTTACTTCAAATAAGGAGCTCAAATATTGTGGAGGTGGTGGTAGGATAAAGCAAGAGATGGGTGGACAAATCAGAGCCTTATTGGCCGTGATAAGAGCATTGATTCAACTTGTCATGATGAATCAAGAGATCCTGGATACAAGCTGCTGAAATGAGGGGAAAGTATAAACTCCAGGGCAATATCTTTCTGTTTCAAAGCACAGGAAGCTGGTGAAGATTCTCAGTCATCCAGGACATGGGCAAAGCCAGAAAAAGTAAAAAAAAAAAAAAAAAAAGACAGAAGTCTTGTTGACTTTTTGTTGTTGTTTTGATTGACAGCTCAGGAAGAAGATGGGTTTTGTGTTCCAGAGATGAACATGTTTTGTTGTGAAATGCTCATATCAACCACAAAACAAAAGCACTTGATGCTACCTGAAGCTGGTAAGAGTGTGCCATTATCAAAATGAATCTGGTACAACATGGGCTAAAAGGCCGCACAGGAAGGAAGAAGCCTTTACTCTTAAAGCAATTTAAAACACAACATAAATAATGAATTAAGTAAAATAGATAAAATAAAATAAAACAGAGAACAGTTTGCTAATGCAAACAGGACAAAAACCTAAACTTCCAGAGACATATCCCATGGTCTGATGACATTAATGTTGAACTGTTTGGTCATAATGACCTTCATTCCATTTGGAAGAAAAAAGGGGACATCTTGCAATATCCCAACTGTGAAGTACGGTGGGGGCAGCATCATTTTGTAGAGGTGTTTTGCTGCAGAAGGGACTCGCATATGTCACAAATGTTAGTTAACATCACAAACAAACACATTATGTGAACATGTTGAAGCAAGATCTTGAGACATCATCTAAAAAGTTAAGGCTTGGAAGCAAACACAGTAGTTGTTTCAAATGGACCCTGAGCCTTTTGTATGAAGTGAATACATTTGACCCAAGTCATACAATTTGAAGGCAATGCTACTAAATACAAGAGAAATGTATGTAAACTTGTGACTAAGGGAAACAGTAACTTTTGCACATATATATAGATATACTGTATATATACTGCATGTCTTTTTACAGTGTATGTATATACTTGATCTCAGCTGTTTGTGTAACCAGGAATATGATGATAGAAAGTACTAAAATGTTTTTGGACTCCACACAAACAAAAAATAAGTGCAATGTGCATACTGAGTGACATACCATATGAATCTAAGAACATAATGGGCTACAGTACCTAAGTGCTTCTTTTTCAAGTCAGATCACTGGTGTAAAACCTGTCTGATTAATTTTTAAAAGTGGAATAAAAATAATGCAGCTAATGATTAGATTTTACTCACATGTTACCTCATTCATAGTAACTAAGCAAATATAATTCCCACTGTCTTGTTGTTAACATCGCCATATCACAGAAATATAACTTTCCAGAAAGTAGACCAGGAACAATTATTACCTCTCCACAAATATCCCAGCTTGCACTGCATGAACAATGCTCCTGAATCTTGGCTTTTCCTCAGGACGACGCTTGGCTACACCCATCTTTCTGCTAAACGTGCACGCCAGCCAATCACGTACTTCACTTGGTACCGACTCTGCCTGCAGGTCGCTGAGCTCGTCCTCTGTATCCAAAAGACGTCTGCAGAGACAAAAAAAAAACTGTTACAGGTTTTTCTTTTTTTTCAGTGCATCCATCCAACAAACTGCTGCGTCAGCTCGGTTTCACCTGGTCTCATCCGTGTAAACAGCATCCAGCATGGCTGCAGCAAGCTCCAGGTTCCTGCGGAGCTCTTGCAGGTCTACAACACCTCGGTCCATCTGCTCCAGGGCTGCCTTCAGCCTAACAAAATCAAATTGTTCTTCATGTGATACGTTTTTTAAACACAGTTTTATAATTCTTTTGTAATATATGCTATATCAAAAACAAGCAACCTGATTCCCAAACAGTTGAGACATTGTGTAAAATATGATAAATCAATCAATAAATTTTGTAATAACCTAAATGCAAGCATTAGTACATTTTATAAATTAATACTTTATTCAAAAGGGAGAATAGTAAACATGTCAAAAGTTTGACTAATAAATTGTATATTTATTGAAAATACGAAAGTAATTTTGAATTTTGACAGAAACAAATTTCTAAAGTATAAAAGTTAAGCGGTATGAATAAGAATTTTGCAACTAGGTCATTTGGCAACAGGTTAGGAAAAATATTTGTTTAAAAAGATTTAGAGAGACAATGTTTTAGAAAAACAATGAGCAGCGTCTGTAAAAACTTCATCTAAGAAAGTGGAACAATTTCTAAATAATGCCCATTCATAAATTAACGATTAAATGAAGGTAAAGGCTCTATCATGCAAAGAAAATATGAGAAGAACATTGAGAAATACCAAAATCTTCTCTTGCCAGCAACTTGTTTAAAATTGACTAAGGTCATATGAAAAACAATGTATTCTACTAAATGGTAAATGGACTGTACTTATATAGCACCTTTCTATCTTATTTCAAGATACTCAAAGTGCTTTACACTACAATCTGTGCCTCATTTACCCATTCATACAGCTCTAAACTAGATCTCTACAAAGCTAATTGAACAAATCATTCTAAAGAGACTAATCAGAGCTTTATCACATTCATACACTGATGGGACACACATCAGAGGCTATGAGGAGTTCAATGTCTTGCCCAGGGACACTTCGACATGTGACTGCTGGTGGATTTGAACCCCCAACTCTTGCAATGAAGGACGACTGCTATAACAACTCAGCCACAGCCACCCCTAAAGATGCAAGGGAGCATCCAGGCTGGTATCAACAAAGTTCAAAAGCCTGCCTCTCTGATAGTATGAGGGTGCATTAACATCTGGCATCATCAGATGGGACATTACTCTCCAGAACTGCTGGTATCCTCAGGTCCTAGATCCGGCGCGTCGTTAGACCTGGGCTTCTGGGGGCTAAAGCCCTGGATGTTTTGTCAACAGCCCCGGACAGCACAGGGGTGGACTGGCCATGAAGCGCCGGTACATTTCCCGGTGGCCTGGCTCTGCTCAGTGCCTGCCGAGGGACTGGTCTAAGGTTCGGTTCGGGTCGCGCTTCATTATTTTAAATAAACGAGCCACTCTTGTACCGATGTGTAACACCGGAGCTGAGTGAAGCTGAACCCCCACCCACGTGAAAAATTCCAGCAATAGAATGAGTGGTGCAGGTTTGTGCTGTTAAAATTTTTGTTTGTGCTGTTTTGGTTTCTGAGATATTAAAAAAATATTTTTTAGGTCATCCAGAGATCATCGTCCCCCCATCTTGCTCCAAAACAAACCAAAGTGGTCTACTTCTTTAGTGCTTCGTTTGTGCACAGGAACCAAAGCAGCACAAACAAAAATTTTAATGGCACAAATGGAGCACTAACCACTCATCCTATTTGCTGGAATTTTTCACATGGGTCAGGGGTCAGCTTCACTCAGCTTGAGCAGAGCAGAGACACACACCCGCCTCGTTGGACTGGTGCAAGAGGTTATGTGTTATATGTAATATGTTCACACGCGGAGCACGCATGTGTGTACGTTTTTCAGCTTCACGCAGCTCGTTAGCGTCTTAAAGCTTGTAGGATATATGGAGCAAGAGACATGATGAAAAACAGAAAGGCACTGGTGCTGATGCAGCAAAGCGCAATAAATTAATGGAGAAGGTAAAACAGAAACATCCAGAGTCATGCTCAATAATTCAGGTAGAAAAATCCAACAAAGTTCAGTCAGGTCCTCTGGAAAGTTTCTGGAAGTAGAAACCATCCAGAGGACCTGACTGAACTTTGTTGGATATAAGACAGAAACACGTGGTGAAAACTCTTAACTGTGGCCCAGTCTAATGGATGCATTCTTCGAAGGCTGCATTTGAAGTCTGCTTACGTCACAGCGACGTGCCGAGGCCTGTCCCAATTCAAAGACTCCTTCAATGAAGCCAACGAATGCGGCCTCCTTTTCCCCTGATTTGAAGGCCAGGTCCTGTGTATCCTTCGTGGTCCACCCTATCCCAAGATGCATTGCGTACGGAAAATTCTGGAAGGACGTAATGGCGGACGAAGCAACAGAATACACTTTTAAATGTAAATGTTAAAATGTGGGATTAAAAAATTTAAAGCCTAAAGCAGTTATGATTTAAAGCAGATGATAGACTTTTATCATTTGCATAGACATTTTTTGTATTATTTTTTGTCGGAGATCAGCTCGTATAGCGGGTCCTGTAGTACTTTCGCCGCTAAGCTAATTTTTCTTTTCTTTTTTTTAGGGAGCAAGGTGCAGAATGAAGCTTTTATTAAGCTTGGGAATAAAAATAGCCACCTTTTCACTGGTGCAAAACATTCAGCCGTTGTGGCATGGAGGTACAAGAATGAATAGTTTTATTTATCTTATGCTTCTGAGTACAGTTTCATTAACCCTCATACATAACCTGAAGTATAGACCTCTTGTGTCGTGCTGTAGTTTTTCTATGTGGGTTTAAGATATTATTTTCCATTTTTCCCCTCTTCATTCATTTTATGTTGATGTTATTATGATAATTTTGGAGAAGATGGGCCTGCAGGGGAAGGTAACTCCTCTGCAGGCAAAAAAGAAATGGGACAACTTAAAAAAGATATACAAAGTATGTGCATGTGTAATGAAGAATATAATTTGTACATGCAGATGTTAATACATGTAAAGTAAAAAAAAAAAAAGTTTGTTGCTGTGCCAACTGTGATGTCTTATTTCCTCTGTTCAGGACTGCAAATATCCAGCGTCAGGGGAAGGAGTTAGTGAGAAGCTGCTGCTGTGACTTGGTCCTGGTTTGTCCTCATGGATGTGATTTTAGGACAGAGACCTTCCACTGCACCTCCTGTCCTAATTGTCTCCATCACTGAGGACACTCCAGGTTCAAGAGCAGCAGTGGGTGACCAGGAAGACAGGGCTGACGAACAAAGAAAGGAACAGAGATGAGGAAGAATGAGACAGCAGGATAGAGAGGACAATTTACTTGAATTGATCAGAGAAGACATGAGGCAGCAGAGGGAGGCAGAAGAGAGAAGGGCAAATGAATGGAGAGATATTTTACAGTTCAATTCAATTCAGTTTATTTATATAGCGCCAAATCACAACAAAGTTGTCTCAGGGCACTTTACAGAAAGATTCACATACATAAAAGTCAATTAGTAAAGTTCTCTATCTAAGGAATCCAGCAGACAAGTTGAATCTTGGCTTCGTCACAGTCTCCCATCCTGAGCAAGCACAGTGGCAACAGTGGAAAGGAAAAACTCCCTTTTAAAAGGAAGAAACCTCCAGCAGAACCAGGCTCAGGACAAGCGGTCATCTGCTTTGACCGGCTGGTTTGAGAGGACAGGAAGGAGAGACAGACAAACATAGAATGGTAGGTCCAGGTGTAGGTTCAGGTGTATCTGAAAGACAAAAAAAAAAAAAAACCCACATGTTAAGGATAGAAAAAAATAATTACAAATGTTGAGTAGAGTAAGTAAAGACAGTAGCAGAGTGAAAAGTGTGGTCAGTTTGTCCTCCAGCAGTCTAAGCCTATAGCAGCATAACTAAGGGACAGCTCAGGAAACCCAAGCTGACCCTAACTATAGGATTTAGCAAAAAGGAAAGTCTTAAGCCTAGTTTTAAAACTGGATAATGTGTCAGCCTCACAGACAGAGATTGGAAGTTGGTTCCGCAAGAGAGGAGCCTGATAACTGAAAGATCTGCCTCCCATTCTGTTTTTGTAAATTCAATTAAATTCAATTCAAAAATACTTTATTAATCCCAGAGGGAAATTATTTGTTGTTGTAACTTGCTATCCTCATTTTATTAAGAGATGTTGTAGATACTGATGGCTGTAGACAGGAAGGATCTCTTGTAAAGGTCTATCCCACAGTGGATCATAAGAAACTGGCTGCAGATGCCGTCCGATCCGTCCACCCAGACTCAGCTGGCCTCTCTGTTCCCCCGGGCTATAGGATCGCCCGAATGCCTGGCAGAACTCCTCCCACAGTGATGGCCACTCCTCCCAGCAGTCTGCAGAGCTCCTCGTCGCTGCGGACAGCCAACTGTAGGTGCTGAGGGACGATCCTGTCCTTCCGCTGTCATAAGCCGTGTTTCCTGCTAGTTCCAGGATCTCAGTGGTCAGGCACTTGAGCACAGCTGGCAGGTAGATGAGAATGCATCCACATAACATCCTTTTCAACTCATTTGAGATTTGGGGCTGTAGTTGAGATGTTATTTGAGCTTTTGAGATGTTAATCAGCTGCTGTTAGTTGTAGAAAACTACCTTGTTGCCATGGTTACGCATCATAACAAATGTCCAAAACTAAAAAAGTTTCAGTAAAAATCCTTCCTGCTGCACAGCATCTGATACCAGAGGAAAATATCATCCAAAAAATGTGATTTACATCCAGAAAAAGAGGAATTAAAGTTTCTAAAAGCAAAATCTCAAAATGAAAGCCACCTTGTGCGGCGCAATTCTAGGAACCACAAGTAAACCTGCAGCCTGAGAGCGAAGTGCTCTGTTAGGAAAATATGGAACAATAAGATCTGTAGTATAAGATGGAGATAGGTTGTTGAGAACTTTGTAGGTTAGAAGTAGGAATTTGAATTCAATTCTGGACTTGACAGGGAGCCAATGGAGAGAAACTAAAGTTAGTAGTTAGATAGTAGTAGAGAGAGATATGATCTCTCCTACTAACTCCAGTTAAGACTCTGGCAGCAGCATTTTGATCAAATGGACATTTTAAATAAGTATTTGGACACCCAGATAATAAACCATTGCAATAGTCCAGTCTAGACGTGACAAATGCATGGACCAGTTTTATGATTCAATGCAA